CGCGTTTGTGAATACCGTTCTCGCCTCATCTTACGATGATCGTAAGTTTACGAACTTCGTAGCTAAGTTGTCGTAGGTAAGAGGTTTTTTTATGAATCTGGGCCAGATTCATAAAAATCCTCTTACCTACGACAACTTAGCTACGAAGTTCGTAAAGTTACGATCATCGTAAGATGAGGCGAGAACGGTATTCATAAACGCGTTCTTAAGTGAGAGGAGGAAAGTTACGACCTCTTACGGAGAAACGACGACTTCCGGTGCTGTTGCTATGGCAACGGCGTCTTCGGCAAAACGGACAACCAATTAGAGAGCTAGGCATAGTTCGGAGCACGTGGATTTTTAATAACAAACACAGGCTAACACTCGTTGATAGACAGCTCTGTGTATGTCCTGTCCTGTCTGTGTGTAAATGTGTAGTGTTCAAGCTGATTCTCATAAACACGGGCGACCTTTCCACCACCGCTTGTCTGGGGTTCGTGTCCGTGCAGTGGTATATCGACGCTAACACGATTTAAACGCTTCGTCGACTGCTACAAACTCGATCGCTACGAAGTCAACACAACTGTCATCGTTGGTAAAAGCCCCGTGCCAGTCGTTTGCAAAGCGACGTAGAAGGAAACAAACCGCCGCGGTGTTTCTCGCGGCCTCGGAAATGCAGGAGTGAGCCGACGTTAAAAAAGATACGTTTGAACTACGAGAGTGTCAGCAAGAGTCACGCAAATACCTGTTCACACTCGGAGCGGACGCGTGCGTTTGATCGAAGTGCTGGATTCAGACTGCGTTTCGGTAAGCGCTTCGGGACCGATCTTCTACGATTGCAACTCGATACTGACGTGACACTCGGCAAAGAAAGGTTGGACCGGCATCACGTAGCTCCCACAAACTGATACAGCTCGACAGTTAAAAATGGCATACTAATAACAAAGTGTACATACCGTGTTGCGAAGGTAATCCATACGGCGTTTATTTGGGCTCTATATCACACAAAACAAGGAGATAGAATCGAGGAGTCCCTTTTCGACCACAGCGTTCGTCACCGCTGCCTCGGAAAACAAGGTGATCGAGATGATAAGGGGAATCGGTTGATCTCTGAAATTTAGTTCAGCTATCAAACTATTCACACGGGGAGGGTCCACAAGGGTCGCGCGGGCATATTCCATTCAGCAAGCCAGCCGGTCGTGGGCAGACGGTCTTGGCCAAGGACCGTCTGAGCAATGCTGCGCCGGAACGGGTCGGAGTGCCTGCTATAGGCCTATATATTCTGCCGAGCTCGCTTGGTAGGTGGGATCGTCGCCTTTGTTGCCTTTTCCGGGTGTCTGGATCCAGCGTTCATGTTCGTCGTGGTCGGTTTCAAGTACTTCTTCATTTCTTTCTTGCTGCTTGAAGTCGGGACGCGCAAGAAGAGCAGGTAGAAAAATAAATGTCCGTTGGGTCGTCGCGACCGAGCAACCGAGCGACGTTGTCGGCCATGTTAATTTGATCGTAGAAAGTACGTAAGACAGCTTCGGAGCTGTCGTAGGATTTTGTCGTAACCTGCGCAAAAGTTACGACAATTTCGTTTCGAGAATACGGATTTTCTCTCAAATTTGTCGTACGCATTTTTTTCGTCGTAAGTTCGCTTTGAGAATCTGGCCTCTGGCCTCTGAGCCCTAGGAACGTGCCCCCGTAAGCCTCGTCGTCGGCGCCGCTCGGCGTGTACTACTGTGGTTCGACTGGAGCTTTTCGCGACGCAGAACAATTGCTAATGTGAAAAATTGTAGGTTTTCCTTTGCACTAATGCCTCTAGAGTGTATGCTATCCTCTACGTTTATTATTCGCGTGTTTTCGATGGAGATCATTTGATTAATATCGACCCCCCCCCCTTCCCAGTACTGACGGGTCGTTCAGCAACGCTACCACTTGGGCTGCGCGCTTAATAGCTGCGAAAGAAACCACGCGATACTGATATAAGAAGGAAAAATAGACAAATAAATCTAAATAAATCTTTCACTTTTTTAATGGTAAAGCAACAATAAACTGGTGTATTGTTTTTTGTCCTCGTGTTGCTGATGCGGGGACCAGCGTGGTGTAAGGTGCAAGGCCGAGCGCGTTTGGGAACGGCGCGAAGCAGTGTGTGTGTCTGTCCTTTTCCTTGCGTTTATGACCGAGACGGCAACGGAACGGGAACACTCCCGACCACTACACCACAAAGAAAAGTGATACGGTGAAACGTTCGGGAGAAGCGTACCGCCTCAGCTTCGTCGTCTTCTTCGCTCATCGCACATCTGCCATCGGCCACAAATTCTCCTAGGGCCCGGAACTCCAGCGCCACTCGCGGCATCTACGTCGGCCGTCTTCACGCTCTTGCCACTACATCCTCTACTATAGTACTCTACGGAACACAGTTATGAAACGAAAATCTAGAAGGCGTTTCAAACGACGGGAGGCGGACTTAAGTGAGTGAGGGGGTAGGGGGGTACCCACAACACTGAGGTATTCTAGTAACGTTGGGCAGGACCCGGCATGAGGTCATGCCCAGCGACACCGGAAAAAGAACCCAATCCCGGACTGCCTTGCGCACCGGCGAGTTCTCATCCAACCTGGCGTTTGGAGCGCGACGGGATCGGCTTTTCTGGAGCGCGCCTATTTCACAGGGCGATGGGGTACGAGACGGACGTGTTCCACTGGTCGTTTTTAATCAGCTCCCTCTCAAGATCTCGACCCAGATCCAAGAAAAGTCGCTCCGCGGATTTTGGCGGATTCAACCGTGACTTCCTTTCTCGCCTGGCATCTCGCCTAGGAAGAATAGACCTGTTGCAAAACGTACAGCACCACGATAGCAGGGAGTTACGGGAACCCTCGGTATAGATCACGCGCTTTCTCGGTGCGCCTCGGCAACTGCGCGCGCGTCGCAGCCATCCGCCATCCCGCCCATCCGCCGGAACGTCGTGCGTCGTTGGAGGCGTACCGTATCTGTGGCAGCGTAAAAGCATATCGAAATGTGATTTGAGTACATTATTCGTCGTAACTTACCTACACGTCTTGCAGTGTCCCAGAATCCACTTATTTTGCATCGCGACCGTGGCAGGGTTCAACTATACGTTCGACAAAGCGTTGGCGCAGCAGACGACAGAGGCGGTGCGGTACAAAGGGGAGGGATAAAAAAAAGGGGTAGACCCTCTCCTCCGTGCGCTCGTCGCTTGTCCGACGATCCGACCAACGGCCCGACTCGGCTGCACGGCTCAGGGGTGCTCGAACGTTGTTGCTATGGTGACCTGCGCCTGCTCGCGTATGCCATGTGGTATACTGGGAGGAAAGACGATGGGAGAGGCGTACCGAGTACTCCCATTATTCGTCGCGCGGCGCGCGCGGGCTTTTGGGATTTTTGCATAAGGTCTATCGCACTGGCCGCTCGCGAAGTGCCGCCCGCTTTACTAGGCATAATAGCTTTACTGCTGCTGCTACTTGGTGACTGTTCGCCGTCAAGTTTGCTCGAGCAGCTTCTCCAGCAGCAGCGGCTCGAGTAGCAGCGCCGAAGAGGATCGCTTGTATGTCCCGCATGAACTCGACTGCCTTTTCGGACGTCCGCGGAATAGGCCGAGAATCGAGACCTGTTTGGACACCGTTCACGAGTATTCCCATGAAGAGGCAAGTGGGCTACGCTGATGCACATAGCTTATCGACACACATCTTTCATATCGTGATTAACTTCGCTCATGCGTTAAACAGGTGTTGTTAGCGTCGCGATTGCGAAAAAAGCTCGAGGTACACCTAAGCACTTCTTATGAGTTGTGAATGCGAAAGCATGCAGGCCGCTCGTCCGCTCCCCTTTTCGTCTGCTGCGTACTTTTCGTCGCCGGTCAGCGCACATGCTCCCCTGTGGGCGCTGATGGACACGCAGCGCCTAGGAGTGACTGGTCGTGGGAACTGACGAGCGCAGCGGCCAATGGGAGCCCAGTCGACGCGCGCCAGCCAATGGAACTGAAGGCGAAATGCATCAGCTTTACTTCGCTCCTTTAGGATCGGGGAAACTAGGTGCCGTTTTCGCGGTTCAAACTGATGACGTCAGCTCGCTCCGTGGGGCAGTTAATGCTTTCGCATTAACGTGTGCTTGGAGATCCGGGACCGGGGAAGGGAATTCCCGGGAAGGTGATAACTGGAAGGCATCTGCCGATCCCGGAGGGGTGGGCATGTTCCTCTGGGATCCGGAGGCGGGGTGACTCCGTTCAGATCGCATACCCTCTACTGATCCCGGCGCTCCAAAACGACTACTGGAATTTGCCATGCATCCAACCGAGCTCCAATTGACTGGTCGCAGCTCGATCGACTGCGTTAGGTTGAGGCTACGTCTGCTCCGTGCCTGCGGTCTGCATCGTCTGCTCGCAGCACGATAGCTCGCTGTCGCGGCTGGCTTTCGATGCGATCAGCGCACCAAAAAAAAAAAAAAAGGTTTCGATGCGAACCCGGATTGTCATCACGACGGAAGGAAACCAACACCTTCTGAAAGCAGCGCTTGTACGGCTTTCTCAACCCGCGGTACCATTCTCAGCGTTCGTGCGAAGACGCTCGCTTCCCAAAACGGCGCTATGACGACTCGCTTCAACCGACGTTCCCGGCGCGGTGTCGAGAGCGTCCACTACGCGACGGCTTCCTACTGGTCAGGCAAGCGTTGGGATCCAAATCTCGCCTGTTCGACACCGATTCAGTGGACGCCGCCACGAAATTATGGGGCAAACAACCGCGTTGTCACAGCAATGTCGTGGCGCCCCCCTCTCATCCCCAGGGCCTACCTATAAATCCGCCCTTGGGCTTCCTAGGGATTTTCAAGGCCCTAAATTCTGAGACAAAACCCTTCTAGCCCAGAAAATGTTGGGAGATATTTTCTCCCCGACATCCAGTAGAGTTGAACGAAAACGTGTAAAAAAGTTTAGTTTAACCGTCATTGATAGAAAGCCATTTTGATCGCTACCGTTTTGTGTCTTTGTCGGAGCCAGGTGTGGGCCGGTGTCTTCGGCTCCATGATGGCTCTGAGTCTTCTAGTGGCCCTGATCGACGCTCGCCTCAAATGCTCGGCGCTGGGCTTGGCCTACTACCACGCCTTTCTGGACCTGTTCAGCATCTTTCTCATGGAGGGTAAGCCGCGTCCAAGAAGCGGTTGTCGCTTTCGCTCGGCGTGAGCACTGCATACCGGCGTGGATTTGGTGGGAGCAGTACGGTCGCTGACAGCTCGAAGTTGCGGTTCCTGCGCTAAGGCATCGCACAAAAGACAGTCTGCACACACAGCCTGAGGCGCGTGTCTTCTTCCTTGTATATAAAGGTCCTGCCACATTGGTTGTGCGAAAAAGGACATGTTCGAAAAATAGAACATGCTCCGAATGTTCTTGAAGCGGGTCCGCAGATACTCGTGTTGTCGTGTCTGCAGCGAAACCGTCCCCTACCTCGTTTCCTTTTTTCTTTTTTTTTTTTATGGAAAGAGGGACTATTTGTGCGTATTCGGGCCGCAGGCTTGTTCCCTGGAGGTTTCGGAAATCCTATACCCGCATCCTGTTTTCTTCAACTAAACCCCCGAGAAACCCGAATTGTTTTGTCCAATACCCACCAAAACTTTACACCTAAAACACTAAACCTTCGTAAAAACAAAAACAAATCGCAGGAAAAAAAACTTTGAAATACGCGGAACGGTATAAAATTCCCTGTCTATTTTTGTGGTCTCTTCCAAGCGTCCCCCCGAGTGACACGATCTTCAGTGAAGCGCTGGATCATCGGCACCTGGTGGCTGGCCGTGCTCGTGCTCACCTCGGGCTTCACGGGTCACATGAAGGCCAGTCTGACCATGAAAGACGAAGGCGGCCGCCTAGACACCGTCCACGACATCGTCGTCAGGCCCGACGTGGTCCCCGTCATCATCAAAGGCACTCTCTTCGTCGAGCTCTTTCGGGTAGGCAAGCTTTGACCAATGCTCGCGCTCAGAGGTTTTCTGGATGCCCAAATTCGAATAAAGGGCCGTTCACAGACTTACTTTTGCTTAGGACTTAGGTCTTGTAATCTCTCGCGACGAGAGAACACATTGGAACTCTGACCCCATCTGTCAGGTGGCCCTAAAACTACAATTTACTAGAGCGAATGTTTTGCAGCATTTGCGAGATCCAATGTACGTTCTTTTAATAAGAAATTGTCGTTTATAACATTGTCAATAGTTCATCAACCCAAGAGACAAAGAATCATAAGCGAACAAAATAGAAACTAGATAAATGAAAGAAAAAAAAAAGTTCGAGGTACATCTAAGCACTTCTTATGAGTTGTGAATGCGAAAGCATGCATGTCGTTCTTCCGCTCCCTTATTTCGTCTGCGGTGTACTTGCGTCGACGGCCGAGCGCGCGCGCTCCTCGCCGCGCTGACCTTGGGCGTGGAGCCGCTGCCTCGCTCGGCGGCCAGACGCTCCATGTTACCGGCGCGCTGGCGGCGCGGACCCGCAGCGCCATGGGGTGGCGGTCGTTGAAACAGACGCGCAGCGGCCAATGGGGACCTCGTTCCTTGAAACTACGACGCGCGCCAGCCGATGGGACCGAAGCCAAAATTCATCAGATTTCGCCTTCACTGCGCTCCATTGGGAGCGGGAAAACTAGGTGCCATTTGGCTAAGCTTTTCGCGCGGCTTCAAAGCTGGGAGCCATCAGATCTCGGATTCACGTGGAGAAAAAAGTTTAGGTGCCGTTTGGCGCGGCTTCAAAGCTAATGACGTCGGCTCGCTTCAAGGGACAGTTAATGCTCTCGCATTAATAAAACACGGAGAGGACGAAACCAACGTTATTAGATTAGCTCTGTTACGGAGCTGCTCATAGACGCTGCTTGCACAAACAGTACCCCCCGCTCACTCAACACGATTCGTCTCCCATCGTTCAACGCGACGGATGGCTGCTATGGTAACTGCAGTGTTCTATGTAATACGTACGTTTCGAAGCGCAGCGTCTACAGGGTGTCTCAAATAGCGGCCAGGCTTTTTAAGTCGGCCGCCAAATCGGTTTCTTCACCTATCGCGCTACGATTTTGTGCAGCGTTGCCCACAGGTTGTGCATTGTTTCTATAAAATTTGCAAAGTGCGAACTTATCCTGAGGAAATAAAAAAAAGAAAAGAAATCCCTGTAGCGCCGAATTAGAGCGCAGCTCTTGAGGAGCAGGAGCGGAGGGTACGGTGAGGAGGCTATGCCTCTCCTCCTCTCCTGCTCGCCTACCATTTAGGGATAAATTTTCCGTTAAATTTAGCGGGGAAATTTTTCCGCTAAATTTAGTGGGGAATTTTTTTCCGCCAAGTTTACCAGAGAAACTTTTTCCGCTAAATTTGACGGGGAAATTTTTCGGCAAATTTAGCGGGGAGTTTTTTCCGCTAAATTTGGCGGGAAAATTTTTCCGCTATATTTAGCGGGAAAGTTTTCCGCTAAATTTTGCGGGGAAATTTACCCATAATCCACGGCGCGGTTACACCGACGCCGACCCCGCTCAAGCCGGAAACGGGCGCCTAAGAGCTGCGCTCTAAAAAAAGAAAAAGGCTTATAGAGACGCAGCGAAGTCACCGGTCTTCAAACAATAGGGCACCGTTTGGCTCGGGAGCCAAGAGATAGCGCAAGTGGTCGCGACGCCAACTGCCGCCAACGAAAGACCATACGGCTCCGGGAGCCGGCTTCGGCGCGAGCCTTTTCGATGTCAGTTGCCAATGTATTACTTTATCATCCTTACTAATAAAACACATTTAATGGGCACATAATCGATTAGGAAATGGTTTGTCAGGTTATTTTGTCTGTTTTTACGGGGTACTTATGTTTTTACGGGGTACTTATGCTTTGCAGTTCCTGTTACTGCACCTGTTTCCTGTTACTGCACCTGCACCTTCCGCAGGCGGTGACTGTCACCGCCTGCGGAACGCGCGCCGCTTTTAGTCGCAACGGTCGTCGTGCTAATGACGCCGGCTCTCGGCGCCGTGTGCTCGTTCGGTGGCGGCAGTTGGCGTCACGACCGCCTGCGCCATCGCTTGTCTCCCGTGCCAAACGGCTCCCTATCGCTTGAAGACCGGTGGCAATTCTCTGCGTTTCTTTTTTACAGCGGAGCTGCTAAGGGCTAATTGCCCCAGTTTCGTGTCCGTGGACAAATATATCTCGACACAACCCTCTGGACAGCTAATGTCATCTATAAGCGACCGTCATTCATAGATGGCGGCACATAGTACAGCTCCGCTGTAGGGAGGCTCAAGTGAGGGTGGGTGCAACTGCTAAATGGGGGATCACGGGACATGGACGCCATTTAATTGCTAAATTTTGCTGGGAGTCTATGGGGCAAAGGGTCGTTTTATTTCCTAACTCAGGTCATAAGAGCCCATTAAGGTGCTTGAATAATTCACACAAGGCATAAATGATTACTTTTACATAGCCACCAGTTTCGTTGCGATAGGTTAAGTATTTTTTTAACGCGAAACATGGTAAATTCCGCCATCTAAAACGTTGCTGCTTGTCTGGCAACCCTGCTTTCTCCTCTCAACATTTGCCATTCTCGGAGCGAGAAGGAAGAGAGAGGCTGCGCCAAGGCGTTCGTTGCTTGCAATGGGAGGCGAGAGGAGGAAAGGCCCATGGAGCAACAGAATTGCAACAGAGCGGGCGTCTGCTCTCGTGCAGGCAACATTGGCGCACATCCTTTCCTGAATCGTTTCCCACCAACGATGCGATCTAGTCGCGCGATAACTTTCATCGCAAAAGCGACCATCGCGGGCAAAAGCGACGCGATTTGAGCAGTGGCTACTCGACCCGACTTTTTTGCGATGCGATCTAGTCGCGGAGCGGCTGAGCCAATCAACGGCGTTCGGAGCGAGAGTTTTTGAGAAACGACTCGCCAACGAAGGCGTTGGACTCGCTCATCGCGCACGCCGGTGTGACCATCTATATAGCTTTTTTTTTTGCGATGCGATCTAATCGCATCGCGCGACTGCTTACATCGCCGGTGGGAATGCGCTGCCCCGCCGTTAAATTGCAAACGCTCTCCAGGTTTTGAGTTGCATCCACCCTCACTAGAGCCTCCCTACTCCGCTGCTCTTCCTATCTCATCAGAGTGGAAAAAGCTGAACGTTTTTACATTTTCCTGAGGTAAGTTTGCTTTTTGAAAATAATATCGAAAAAATGCACCGCCCGTGGGCAACGCTGCACAAAATCGTAGCGCGATAGGTTACGAAACCGAATTTCGCGGTCGATTTAAAAAGCCTGGCCGCTATTTGGGACACCCTGTAGATGGCGTTCGACCGTACTCTGTGGAACACACAGTTATGAAACAAAATTCTAGATGGCGCTTCAAACGACGGGAGGCGGACTGAAAGGTGTGAGATGGGTACCCCCTCCGCGTGAGAAGTTCACAACTGAGGTAATCGTGTAACGTTGGACGGAACACCGACAGAAAGATTATACTCGTCTGCCTTTCGTCTTCTCCATGTTTTTTTTTTTCTTCTGTTATCTACTATACTTCACCACACGCTCATTGGGATTATAAATTAGATAATATGCGGAAAATGTCAAGTGTTCCACGGCCGATAGATGGCGCCGGTGTACTCTCTCGTCGTAAGAGATTCTAAAATGTTTCAAGGCACACGGTCGTAAGCATTCGCAAGTGCGTAAGCCAGCCGTAATTCGATTTGATTTCGTTGTTTTTATTATTGAAAGAAAACAACACAAAAATCCTACGGAAGCGTATATTGGGATTAGAGAGTTTCTAGCCTCTAAACTGTTACGACGCTGCGCAGCATCTTAAACATTTCTAAGCTTGCCTTCCGAACCTTCACTTGCGGGCCTATCCGCCCGCTACGTAATCGCTTGATAGGAAACACAATATGTAGACACATAGTACAACATACAGACGAACAAACAAATATACACAAATACATAAGCGGTTACGAACTCCGCAGTCATTGAAAGCAATTAATAGCGTATATTATAAAGCACTGATAACCTTGATCTAACGAATACTTAACTACAAGTTATTCCAAACCATTTGAGCAATACTACTGTGTACCAATTCTATTATTTGACGTACGTTAAAACAAAACAAAAAAACATAGTGTTTGACAAGCATCAGTTCTACGGTATAAGTTTGTAATTTTTCGAGCAGGATTCGATTTTTCCTAAATAAAATATAGAGTTCACAAAAACCTACTTCTCTCCATTCTTGTTTTTCTGTAGTACATGCTATGCATTTGTCTCAACGAAGACATTTTCTAAGAAAATCCTTAAATTAAAGGTATTTCTTGATGGCACTGAGGTTTTTATCGTGCCCTTATACCTTCCTGACACAAATTTTGCAGGTTTGTTTAGCATTCTTTTATTTTGATGAATAAACACACGATCGAGAAAATACACGGTTATTCATGGATTGGTCAGATATGGCTGCAATAAACGGTTATTCTCGAGGCTTGTTCACACACTTGCGACTGCTTATAAGTTATAACCGAGTGCGCCACAGCCTTTTGCAATATCTTACGACAAGAGTAGAAGAAATATATATAGTATATATAGAGTACGTACATTGGATTTTGCAAAAACTGCAAAACCTTTGATCTATTAAAATGCAGTTCCAGGGTCACCTTCTGGATGGAGCCGGCGTGTTGGTGTGTTTTCTCGTCGTAAGATGACACAAAAAGGGTCGTAATGCACTTTGTGGTAAGCAGTGGCAAGTGTGTTGACCAGCCTTTACATCCAGGTGGCAACTCTAAAATTACTTTTCAAAAATCCTAATTTTCGGGTAGCTCGAGAGGTACTGTGCTGAACTTGCGCGTTCTAGGAAAGGGTTTCAGCTAACAAGAATACTTTACTTATTTATTTACGTATTTATTTCAAAATACTGCGACCTCGATGAGGTCATCGCAGGAGTGGAGAGAAAACACAGATATACACTCAAAAAGGCCATCGATTAAAGATGTTCACACCCTACGAAACAAAACTTAGAAAACCGTCAAAAATGCAATATAAAAAAGAGTACAAAAACAATCACATACACTTCAATTACAGATTCCAGGCACCATGCCAGAACACCCACTGTATTTCTAATACAAACCTATCAAAATCGAGACAACGAACTGATCCATTTATGTTATTCCAGTTTTCTATCGTTCGAGGAAGAAAAGAATATTTAAAACGGTTAAAGTGGGCTCTATACGGTACAAGATTTAATTTCTGAAAGCTTCGAGTGCGTGATTCAGTAACAAAACCGACATATTTTTCCCCGATTAAGTGCACAGTTATTATTCGCTCGAGGTACTCAATCTGCTGGTTCACTATTTATAGTAGAAGTACTAATGAATGTTACCGCTTATTTGTAAACCGTACGTGGTGGCACCTTGTAACGTTCAACGTCCTTCCCCAGTCATCACACCAGCTAAGAAAAAGATGATGGTCATCCTGTAGAACGGTGCACTCTGAAATAACGTTAATATTGCGGTAAACTATCAGACATCGACGTATACGTGGCGGGTTCGAATCCCAACAGAGGTGCCCGCAACATGACGGAGGCTTATTGCGGAGAAGGCGCCGTGTAACCGAGCTTTCGGTTGCACGTCAAAAGATCCCCAGGTGGTCGAAATTAATCTTCAGTCCGTCGCTGTGGCGTGCCAGATGCCCGTCGTAGGTTTGGCACGCAAAACCCCCAATTTTGATTTTCATCGACGTATAGCCAGGTGTTCAAAAATACCATTCGGAAGATTATTAATAACGGTAAAAGTCAACAGGGATCCTAAAGCAGAACCCTGGAGAACGCCTGATGCGAGGTCTACTGTTTCTGACTATCGTCACAAACAGTAGACCGCCAGAAACGCTTTCACGTCCACCAGAATGGTTCAAACGGATTGCAACTTACTAAAATTGTATGGTTGAGGGAAAATATAATTTCCCTCAACCATACAACACATTTCTTTCGGGTGGTTGAGTTATCTTCCATCCAATGAAATATAGTAATTCGAGCAAGGTAAAGCATTTACAATATGTGCGAGAGAAATATGCACGAAACCACATCAAAAGCATTTCTAAAATCTAAAACAAACAAGAAATAATGCCATCCTATCGAATATCCGTGACAACGTCACCATCAGACTCTATGAGTCGGGTTAAGCTAGAGCCACGGAATAAGCTGCGCTTGAGTGTAACGACACCTCAGCCATTTCGGTGCTTAAAATCATTGTTGCCAGTTATTATGTAGCTTCATCTGAAACCGTCGGAAACATTTTTGCGTCCACTAGAATGATTCAAATAGGTCGCAACTTACTAGAAAGGTATCGCCCGAGTTTTCTGACAACGTATCTGAAGCTCGGGAAAGTCGCCTTTTTCAATTGTAACACTGTAAGTGTTGCCCGCTCTGCTCTAAGCACCACAATGGCGGCATTGCCTTCAATCAAATCAGGAAACAGAATGCTGATGTTCTAAGCGTATTTGATTTAATGACTCTAGGTTAGACTGATTACGAACTGGTAGCCAGCTAATATGCGTTGTGTCCCGCAGGGCACTCTAGACAAAGACCAGCAAGCTGTGTGGGCCCGCGCTAACCGCATGAAGAGCATCATCCCGCCCAAGCAGGTCTTTACACGGGAGACTTTTGACGACGTCCTTCTTGGCAAAAAGGTACGGTAGGCTTTTTTATTTCATTTTTTTTTCTTTCTAAATTGCACTTGATATAAGAAAACTGAAGGCCGCGTTGTAGTTAATCCGAGATTGTGGACATATATGTAATCTAGTATGTCCTCCGACAGGCGTAGGTGAGCGGCACTAAAGGCCTGTTCACACATCCACCACGATGCTATATTTCAGCGCTACTTGTTCACAAATACAGCACACCGCGAACTCAGCGCTTTCTACCAGCGCTGACTTTGCGCTACATCAGGTGAATATGAGCGCTGCGCTGCATGAGGCACGGACTTTTTCTGTTCGAACACACAGCGCAGAGCAGTAATGAGTGAGCTTCGAGACCAGCGTTAATGCCGTGGGAAGGCGCCTCTGACTGGTGTGCTTACTGCGTCATCAAATCCAGTCCCTTGCCGACGACGTCGTATAGAAGTGTCATGCTGTCCTCTACCGCTACCACAATCCTGGTGATGACAGAGCAGAGGAGGTGAATACAGCAGGCGCCTGTTCCGCTGCACGTCTGTCTCCAGGGCCCCTCTATGGTATACACGGCGAGACCAAGGGACCGCGGGACAACGCCGTCTGCTGCAATTGGTCAGCGCCGCGCCACTGACCAATCCCAGCAGACGGCGTTGTCCCGCGGTCCCTTGGTCTCGCTTGGTCCCACCGTGTATAGCATAGGGCCCCAGCTTGACAGTCCACCGAAGCTTGGGCAGCCAGGAGTTGGGACGTTCGCCGCGACGACAGCGCAATTCCGGAATGTTTGCGGAATTCCGCTGTCGTCGCGGAATTTTCGGGAATTTCCGGACAGCGGAACTTCCGGAATTTCTGCGACCATCCGACACGATCGCGACATCCAACAGGATAACACAGCGGCACATGTGAAGCAATTTCTTTTCACGTGAGGACAACTTTCAACGCTTGGTCGGTGAACGACGCTCAACACGCGCAAGCCATAAATTTCCTTGATAAGAACTGCACTATGTCCTTCCTACAAGTAACTTCATTCTTTGAAGCGCCGACCGCGTGATGGTACAGATGTTAGGAAGCAAATGGCGAGGCACAGCAGCAGAATGAAAGCAAAATGCTCTGACGAAATGATCAAACAACCGGTGAGCTAGTTTCAATTCATCTTCAAAAAAGCCTCGAGACTGTGTTTGAGACTGTGTGTTGTGTCTCTTTTTTGCTTTCCACGTTTCAAGGTTTTTCAGATGAAAAAAACAAACAAACTTCATTTTGACCCAGCAGGTTGAGCTTCATCATGTTTGTCGGTTGTCACTACTGCAAAAGCAAGTATCGATGGACTTTAGCCAGTCAAAGACGCGTTCGAGGCCAAGCAGTATTGCCGCTGAGAAACGTAGGCAACTCTAAACGAAAGGTGTAGAGTGGTTTGTGATAGCGGTCGCTTAAAGAGACGCTGCTAAAAAAAAAAAAAAAAAGTTTTTTTGTTTTTTTTAAGGGAATAGGTGGCACACGTATTTTTTTGATAATTTCTCCACGAACACATTTTTTTTTTCGCGCAATATTACGCCGTTAGAAGCAATTTAGGTGGAGGCTACAGCCCCCTGAAAGCCCTGCCCACAGAGCAGAGGGCTCGCCCATTACCACTGGACTGGCTTGGCTGCTCGACCGAGCAGGCCAACGAGCGAAGTGTCCACCTTTCGCCGTCATCCGGTGCGTCTAGTCTTTAAGTCACCGCTTCCGAAGGTGCGTACTTGCGGCGGTTGTTTGCTGCACACTACGTCGGTTGAGGAGATCTTCCTCTAAACCCCTCTGTGAACTCAAAACAGCTCGCATTCATAAAAATTGACAAGCTGAACGCTCGTTCACCACTCCGCAGACGCCGGCAGCCATGTTTGTTAACGTTTCAAATCGAAACGGGAGAAGCAATCTCAGAATATATTTGAAAACAATAATGACTCTATCTCGATTTTTGCGTCTCAAACATAAAAAAAATAGCTGATTAAAATACTATCGCAGCATGGAGATACAAATTTACAACGAGCCTTTCACGTGTCAATCATTCCTATAGCTAATGAGAGATGTAAACGCCTTGTAGCACGGGGCGGGGCAAACCGAGCTGTGACTTCCACCTTTTGCACCTCAGTTGCGTCTGACAACGTAAATATTGCTCAATAAATATTCGTTTCTAGGGAAACAATTATTTAAAAAATTAGTGTCGAAACTTTTCTCTTAATTTTTTTTCTTTGGAGTGTCTTTTTAATGGGAAGATCCGGTATCAATTTTAACGTTTTCAGCTAAACATATTCTTTTTAAAGACAGCGAGAAACTAAGCCGAGTGCAGGGAGGAAAGTTCCGCGAAAATTATTGAAAATTTTTTGATTGTAGAAACACGATAAAACCAAAACCGATGATGTCAGATGTTGTACGAAATCAGACGTGGGTAGCTTGAGCCTGTTTCGCCCAGCGTCAGAAGCAGTCAAAAGGCCGTCGCATTTGTCCGCGGAAAAAAAATAAATAGATAATAGGAAATAATATTCATCAAGCTTGTCTGAGTCAAGCAATGATCAGCAAATGGTGTAAGATTTTCAGCACGAGATTTCAGACGATTCACCGTTCGCACATGATTAACACCACCTAGATAAGCAGAAGGCCTCCTTACCGTCATTCTCAGGGGTAGATATCTAGAGCACAGCGAGAATGAAATAAAGGTCAGTGTTTCGCCGGAGCTCCCAGTTGCTACCAGGTAAGCAACTAGACAAAGAAGGGCCGTAGTACTTTGCAATGTGAAATAAAATGCGAAATTCCAAGCTAGCGAACTAACTGCAGGTGGTGTTTCTGGAGCCGTCGCTGTTCTACTACGCCGTGTCCAACCTGTACAAGAGCCTGCCCAAGGGCGAGTTCTACCTGGCCCGAGAGAGGATCACTAACATCACCATGAGCATGTGGATCAACAGGGGCCTGCCTTTCAAGCTACGCAAGGCACTGCATCAGCGGTAAAGGGACGCACCTACTCATTTAGAACAGCCTATATTCTCATCCCCACAGCCAAAGCTCCGATTCGATGGAGACAATAGAGAGTTTACGCACATCGTTTCCGCTCTCCCGCAACGCCCTCCCGCAACGCTCTTTGCAACGCGCTACGTTACCCGGAACTCTAGAGTCAAGGGCGTCGCGCGCAGGCGCAGTAGCGGCTTCTTCGTTGCGGAGGCCTTAGCGGAGGGGGAAACGCGGTCTACAGAAATACGGAGTTTTCCAAGATCGTGTTTCCCCCTCCGCAACGAAGAAGTCACTACTGCGCTTGCGCGCCGATGGCCTTGACTGCAGAGTTCCGGGTATCGTAGCGGGTTGCGGAGAGCGTTGCGGGACGGCGAAAACGATCTACGAAAACTCCCTAATCAGACAGCGCCAAACGTGCAGTCACCGCGATGATCGTCTTTGGGTGTTTACTATCACCGTCAAGACCAATGCCTATAAAACACTTGGCTCGACAATCATTGTGATTCATCCGATGAAAACGCGTTAATATTTCCATCGGATTCGATTCAATGAACGCGTGGCCTCGGTTTTTTTCCGACGCGCTCTTGGTGTCATCGCCGTAGCAGTAAATGAGCTGGGCCGCGTTCCAAAGCGGCACGGCGCCTGCTCGTCTTTGGCTCCGCGCCAGCTGTGCGACGCTCGTATTGGTCCGAAGCGCTGGCGTTAGCACGTGTCATATTCACGTGTCATCTCCCTCTCTCACTGCCGCCGCCCTCCTCACCAGCCCACTGTCTTCGCGACGTTATGCGTGGCGCTGACACACGGACTGACAGCGGCTGATTTTCGTGGAAACGAGCGTTCTAATGCAAACGCATTAAAAAAACGGGTAGGCTTTGTATACGACACAGCCGCAAGTCTTAGGCGTGACAGCGACTACGTGTCGAATCTAGCGAAATGAACCATATGTCGCGAGTGTAACATTTATTTTGATGTAACGGAATTGGTGGAATAAAACCGAAGTATGAAATGAAGCAGATATATTTGTTAGCCACCCCAAGTAGCACAAAGTGGGCTCCAAAGGGGGGGGGGGGGGGGGGGGGGGGGGGGCGGCGGGTGTCACACGTGGGTCCCACGTCGGGCAGCTCGGGCCCATGTCGGCCCCACCTTGGCTCTCCTCTTGAAACCCAAGGGGGTCTACTTGGGAAGTTCCCACGGGCCCTCCTCGTGAGAACCACGGGGGACTTGGGTGGATAGCTCACAATAGGTTGCTCCAGGAATCTCATTTCGTTCGGGGTCATTTCATAATTTCCCAGAGGTGTGGGTACTGCAGAGCATACACCATTGAGCATGCACCACTTTCCTCGTGTGCCTACTGGAACTATTATAATTTTGATAGATCAATAAAACGTTTGAGCAAGCTCATAAAAAATTGGGCATTTCAGGTGTACAAAATGGAAGAAAAAAAAACCCCGCAAATTTTCATATAGGCTTTTGTTGGACAGATAATCATCCCGATGATCTGTCCAACACGATCTTACATGAAAATTTGCAGCTTGAGCCGTCTACGCACACAAAATTTGAAAACAGATATGACATTCTGACAAGCGTACTTTGAATTCAACCTCAAATTCAATACTCTGCGTAAATCAGAGTAGCGATGTGGGCGAGTTGGTTCATGCTTAGAAATAATGGAAACAGCGCGCAAACGACAAGGACGGGAGGAAAAGGAGTACACAGGACGAGCGCTGAACTGACAACTGAATATTTATTGAAAAGGACCCAACGAAGAAAACACCCACAAAAAAAACACACTCGCATCAACACGTGTCCATGAAAGTAATCTCCTTCTTATGTAAATACACAGAAGTTTGACTCACGCAGTTCTGTTCCCCCTCCTTCTTTATTCCATACGCTTCTAAAATTTCCCTGGCTGTTTTATCTACTCCCCTCCCCATGATTGTGATCTTATTGAAATCAGGATGACATTTGCATGTTCCGCAGTGCAGGGGCAAATGCCCTCCTGCTGTTGAATGAAGCGACCAGTCATGTTCGCGTGCCCTTTCATTTATGCAACGGCCCGTCTGTCCGATGTAAACTCTTCCACAGCTTAACGGGATCCTGTACACCACTCCGATCGCACAATCCACGTACTTCTTTCTATGGTTTACAGTGCATTGGTTCCCACCCCCCCCCCCCCCCCCCTCCTCTCGGCTACTTTAGAACAAAGGTGTGCCAGCTTACGAAACGCCGAAAACACGACAGGGACATCAAACCTCCCCGCCACCTTTTTCAGGTTGTGGGAAATTCTGTGCTGATACGGGATAACCTGAGGTCTCTTGCTAGGTCTATCCAGCCGCTGATGAGGTCCCCCCTTAATCTTTCTTAACAGCGTTTCCGCTACCGCCAGCAAAACAGAAGAAGGGTATCCCCCTGCTGCAAGCCGCACTGTCTGCTGTTCAAAGCTCTCTGCCATAGAATGGGGACAGGACTTATCAGGGGCAGCCTGCATACACGAAGACGCTATGCTTCGTTTGACGAGCTTTGAGTGGGCGGAGTCGAAGGGCAGAAGTCCCTTTTTCGTACGAGGATGGTAGGCCCAACATACGTGACTTCCTGTGAACTGTAGTTTTAAATCTAAATACTGGAGGCAGAACCCATCTTGGAGTTCATGAGTAAACCTCAGTCCCCCAGAGTTTTTTGCAAAAACTTCCATCACCTTTTTTACAACCTGATCCTCGAGGACCCCCCCAGACGATTTAGTGAGCACGAGGTAATCGTCCACATATCTGAACACTTTCCTAACGCTGTTTCCGTCCAAATTTTCTACAATAGCTCGATCGCACATGGCCAAACACCTAGGTGCCCTGGAACTTTTTGACCCGTTTTTAGTGCGCAATTCACAGGCGGTTGTGGAGTTTCTTAGCAATGGCGTACGCGCAGATGCAGCAGCGTTTTCCATTGATGTCGAGGATTTGTTTTAGAGCGCAGCTCTTAGGGGCCCGTTCCCGGCTTGAGCGGCGTCGCCGTCGGCGTCGGCGTCGCCGTCGCCGTCGCCGTCGGCGTCGGCGTAACCGCAACCCTCGTAACCCTCGTGAGGGTTACGAGGGTTACGAGGGTTAATCTCATGAGGGTTACCCTCACGAGGATCACGAGGGCCACGAGGGTTACTTACCCTCGTAACCCTCACGAGGGTTACGAGGGTTAGTTACCCTCAAAAGGGTTACCTTCACGAGGGTTACCCTCACGAGGGTTACTTACCCTTGTAACCCTCACGAGGGTTACGAGGGTTAGTAACCCTCGTGAGGGTAACCCTCGTGAAGGTAACCCTTTTGAGGGTTACGAGGGTTAGTAACCCTCGTGAGGGTAACCTTCACGAGGGTTACCCTCACGAGGGTCACGAGGGTTATGAGAGTTACCCTCACGAGGGTTACTCACCCTCGTAACCCTCACGAGGGTTACGAGGGTTAGTTACCCTCACGAGGGTCACGAGGGTTATGAGAGTTACCCTTACGAGGGTCACGAGAGTTACCCTCACGAGGGTCACGAGAGTTGCCCTCACAAGGGTTGCTAGGGTTACCCTCACGAGGGTCACGATGGTTACCCAGGTCGTGACCCCCCCGGGGGTCACGTGACCTGGGGATACCCCCGAGGTCACGTGACCCCCCGTTGACGTCATAGGCACTGATGACGTCGTCAGTGACGTCACTGATGACGTCACCGGCATCCGCATCGTCATCGTCATCATCACTGATGACGTCATTAGTGACGTCACTGATGACGTCACCGGCATCCGCATCGTCATCATCATCACTGATGGCGTCATCAGTGACGCTACTGATGACGTCATCGGTATCGTCACCTGGCCCCAGGTCACGTGACCCCCCGACGTCACGTGACGCCCCAAGGTCACGTGACTCCCACAAGGTCACGTGACTCACAAGGTCACGTGACCCACAAGGTCACGTGACCCCCCGCCCCCCGAGGTAACTTGACCCACCCCCCAGTACCCTTCCCTCCTCCTCCTCAAGAGCTGCGCTCTAATTCGGCGTTACAGGGAGTTGTAAACGGCTTTCATTTTTATTCCGTACCCCATGAGCGCCTCTTTGCTTCGGTGCGTGAGTGTATCGATAGAAACGGGGTGATTCCATTTCAGAACGCAAGTGGGGTGGGGGTTGATGGCTTTCTGGAACTGTTGGAGTTTTATTTACAATCGACGTTTGTCCTGTTTGACGGTGGTTACTATTTGCAGAACGAAGGAATATGTATAGGCTCAAGTGTAGCGCCCATTCTCTGCGACATTTATTTGGCCATGTGCGATCAAGCTATTGTAGAAAATTTGGACGGAAACAGCGTTAGGAAAGTGTTCAGATATGTGGACGATTACCTCGTGCTCACTAAATCGTCTGGGGGGGTCCTCGAGGATCAGGTTGTCAAAAAGGTGATGGAAGTTTTTGCAAAAAACTCTGGGGGACTGAGGTTTACTCATGAACTCCAAGATGGGTTCTGCCTCCAGTATTTAGATTTAAAACTACAGTTCACAGGAAGTCACGTATGTTGGGCCTACCATCCTCGAACGAAAAAGGGACTTCTGCTCTTCGACTCCGCCCACTCAAAGCTCGTCAAACGAAGCATAGCGTCTTCGTGTATGCAGGCTGCCCTTGATAAGTCCTGTCCCCATTCTATGGCAGAGAGCTTTGAACAGTAGACAGTGCGGCTTGCAGCAGGGGGATACCCTTCTTCTGTTTTGCTGGCGGTAGCGGAAACGCTGTTAAGAAAGATTAAGGGGGGACCTCATCAGCGGCTGGATAGACCTAGCAAGAGACCTCATGTTATCCCGTATCAGCACAGAATTTCCCACAACCTGAAAAAGGTGGCGGGGAGGTTTGATGTCCCTGTCGTGTTTTCGGCGCCTCGTAAGCTGGCACACCTTTGTTCTAAAGTAGCCGAGAGGAGGGGGGGTCGGAACCAATGCACTGTAAGCCACAGAAAGAAGTGCGTGGATTGTGCGATCGGAGTGGTGTACAGGATCCCGTTAAGCTGTGAAAGAGTTTACATCGGGCAAACGGGCCGTTGCATAAATGAAAGGGCACGCGAACATGACTGGTCGCTTAGTTCAACAGCAGGAGGGCATTTGCCCCTGCACTGCGGAACATGCAAATGTCATCCTGATTTCAATAAGATCACAATCATGGGGAGGGGAGCAGATAAAACAGCCAGGGAAATTTTAGAAGCGTATGGAATAAAGAAGGAGGGGGAACAGAACTGCGTGAGTCAAACTTCTGTGTATTTACATAAGAAGGAGATTACTTTCATGGACACGTGTTGATGCGAGTGTGTTTTTTTGTGGGTGTTTTCTTCGTTGGGTCCTTTTCAATAAATATTCAGTTGTCAGTTCAGCGCTCGTCCTGTGTACTCCTTTTCCTCCCGTCCTTGTCGTTTGCGCGCTGTTTCCATTATTTCTCTGCGTAAAGTCCACCTCAAGGTAAAATGGCCTTCCCAAATACAGGTTCAGTAAGCTGGTAATGAAGTTTAGCAAGTCTAAAATGTTTTACTCACGCTTAGACTTACTTCGGTGATTCGGTATCAAATTAAGCCTGTCTCCTATGTTGAATTTCCCAGAACGTGCAGAACATATTCCTAATATTAGCTGAAAGTGCCGTTTCGGAAGTTGCACAGGTAGTCCAAGTTGGGCCCGCCCCGGTTTTGCCTCCATAGAGCCCACACATTTGCTAACTTAACCCCCGCGGAGCCAAGGTGGGTCCCACGGGGGTTTTACATGGGCAGCCCAAGTTGTGTATGCCCACGCTTTACCACGGTGGAGCCCGCAGCATTGATAACAGAGCCCCCGCAGAACCAAGGTGGGACCCATGGTTTTTTTTAGTTAGGTAGCCCAACTCGGGCACGCCCACGCTTCGCCGCCATGAAACCCTCATATCGCATTTGGTCCCCCTGGAGTCCACGTGGGTCCCACAAGTGTTTTACAGGAGCAGCCTAAGTCGGGCATGCCCACGCTTGACTGCCGTTGAGCCAACATCATCGCAACGTGACCCCCGCACTGCCTAGGTGGTACCCACGCCGACCGCGGGTATTGCACTTCCTCCGCGGTCGGCTACACAGTTTACAACTGCGGCGGAAGTCACCTCACGACAGAAGCAAAGGAATGAAAATTATATTATAGCGGAGATCGTTACAGATAATATCGTTTGAGTGATTAATTGAGCGTACATAGCCGAACACGCTTACATTAGGGAGAAACGCTGTCAGTGCGATGGCACCTCACCGCGATCTGCTGGTGGCTCATTTAGAGGGGGATTCGAAATTCCGAGCCGGAAGTGCGTCACGTGAGGCCGCCTGATAGCAACGCCACCTAGGATAATCGAAACACTAGAAGTTTGACGTCATCACAGTGAGCGAAGACTCAGATTGGATACGAGTGTTGCGTCAGTGCTCGACTGGGCCTCGTGTCCAATCAACGCGTCGAAGGACTCTCGACATCGGGCTCGTGTCCAGTGGCCAAGTTGGCGCCATCCGAGTGCGACGACGTTGTTTGGAGCAAGAGTGGGGCTTCCGGAGGCCCTCATTATTCTAGATAAGGGGTGGCCAAGCTGCGGCTAGCGAGCCGCATGCGGCCCTTCGCGTGCTAAAGTGCGGCTCGCGGCTCCCTCCCCCCCCCCCCTTCTTCCCCCCCGCTTCTTCCCACTCCCCCGCCTCTCTCCCGGTCACACGAGCACTTCCCCAAAAAAGAAAAATGGAACGCGTTTTAAATCGAAAGACAGGTTGCGGTTTGGTAGTCTTGTGCTACTGTTACCTTATGTACAGTTGGACTGCTTTTGACTCTGATAGATTGAAAGCACAGTTCGAGTTTCGTTTATTGCTCTGTACAGTCGAATTCATGCGGGACATACAAGCGATCCTCTTGGTCGCTGCTACTCGAGCCGCTGCTGCTGAAGAAGCTGCTCGAGCAAACTTGACGACGAACTGTCATCAAGCAGCAGCAGTAGTAAAGCGGGCGGAACTTTGCGAGCGGCCATCACAAATTTCTGCGAGATGCCCGGCCGCCTGGCGAGAAAGGAAGTTACGTGTGCGCGCCGAGGGCTGGCCAGGCTGTTTTCCGGTCGAATCCGCCAAAATCGACGGAGTGACTCTTCTCGGATTCGGTTCGAGATCTGTTGTGGGAGCACATCCAAAACGACGAGTGGAACGTGTCTGTCTCGATCCCGATCGCCCAGTGAAATAGGCGCACTCCAGAACAGTCGATCCCGGCGCGCTCCTAAATGGCCATTTGAATCCGCCATTACATTTGGCAGCAGGGGCCAAAAACAACAAAATCTCGGCTTGCTCAAAGGGCAATTTTTATGCCTTTTGTCTTCCATTGTTTCTGTAGGGAGTCGCCTTTTTCCCCGCTATGGCAAAAAGGTTTAGCGGAATTTGGGGAATGTACTTTAGAGTCGGGAGTTGTACTTTGCTTGGAAAGTACCAGAAAAAAATACTTTAAGTAAGGTTCAGGTACCAACCAAGAGAATGTACTTCAAGCAAAGTACAAGCTTTCTAAATCTACTTAAAGTAGTATATTAAGTACAATGTACTTAAAGTGCTTCTCAACACTGGTCCAAGCTATGCCCCGCGCTGGCCTCCGCTGAATGACGTAGAAAACCCAACACCCCTACGGCCTTGTTCCTATTAAAGTATTGGCTCTTCTTACCGAGGCAGATCAAATGGCGCGTAGGTTGACGTTCGTCTTTGCTATTGAGGATTGAAGCATTCGTTGCTGTCCCTAGAGCACGGGGTTAAGATCCTGTGCTCTACTATATCTGCTACTTGAGGACACACAGCATGGTGAACCCAGTGACGCAATCGACCAGATAAAGTCCTGTCGCGTGCCCGAGTAGCCTCAGCAGACAGCGTCTCCGCCGTCCAGCTGGCACGGCGCAACTGAGGAAAAAGGAAACAAACGGAACAAGAAAAGTGTCTCGTTCCGGGGGCGCGCTCTTCCCACTCGGAGAGTCTGCTCTGACCTTGACGGACTGAACACCGTGCTAGAGATGCCTCCTCTTCGACACGTTCATAAAACTTTTATTATAGGCACGAAACGAGGGTCAATGACGATGTAGTGTCTAAGTAACTCGCGTAGCGTAAATGGTACTTCATGACGTGGCGCACCCAGAAAACTACTTTAAAGGGATACTGAACCGAAATTTCGAGCTCACCAAACAAGGCCGGGCGGATAGGCGGGAAGCTGCAAAATTAAAAAAAATATCACTCATACGGCGATATATTTAACGGATCGCCGTATTTTTTTGGAAAAGAACTGCGCGATTGAACCCGGCCGACGCGACAAGGCACTCCACGATTCCCATTCTCTCCTCCTCCATTCTCTCTCCTCAAGCTGGTGAACCGAAGCGAGGAGGAGAGAAGCGAGGCCGCTTCTCCTCATTCTCAAATTCTCCCGGAGGACAGTTACGTCAAAGAACTCGCTTGATCGCGCCATTCTTTTCCAAAAGTACGGCCATCCGTTTGAGATACCGATGTACGCGTGATGTTTTGGAGTTCGTAGCGTCCCGTTCAACACTTCTGCAGCCTTACTTTTCGAAATCCAAATTTCGGTTCAGTGCCCTTAACAACAAGCGTGTCTCCTATGGGGAAGCATGGGAAACCGTGCCCGCGACAGGCTGCTATTAGCCGCATATCGAAGAGTCATCTGGTGGCGTCGCTTGCAACCAAGGTGAGGAGAGGACTCTTTTTGGCAGCTGCGGCGGGCGTAGTGTATGCAGACCTATAGGTACCTTTAGAGATACCTTTATACCCGTGTCCCACTAGAGCGACATACAGAAACGAACGACAGCGACAAACCTCAAACCAGTCTTTCGCGATTTGGGAGGCTTTGTAGAATAAAGGAGGCTACGCTCAAACACGAGCATCATGCACGCGAGGGTATCTTTGGCAGGCTAGCAATCGCTCGCGCTTACTTCACGAGCACCGAACGACTAAACGCCTGCCAAAGGTACCATCGCGAGCATGCAGCATGGGTTTGAGGCTTGTCGCTGTCTTTTGTTTCTGTCTGTCGCTATAGTGGGACACGGGCATTAGAGTATCGGAACTTCATTCCCCGATTTTGTAGTGGGTGCTGCCCTTCTGGTGCTTTGTGGAAACGGCCGCACTAGACCATTTTCAAAGGTCTGCGCCAACGCCTGTCCGCCATTGATTGGACACGAGGGCTGTGTCAGCGTTCGGCAGGGACTCTGGTCCAATCATGCGCTTCGTTTCCATGGATGGACGGATGGATGGATGATACTGGCTATGCTTTTTGTAACGGGCGGTAGCTTGCGCCACCTAGCCTTAGCAACGGCGACCGCCAATGTTGCTTGAGAGACATTTTAAAGGGGTCTATTGGCGATCGCTACAGTTCAAAAATCCGACTTCCTGAGCTTTGCATAGGCTGTCAGGAAGCCCGGACGATGTCGTTTTTGCTTTGTCGATTTCTCGAGGATACAAGACAGTTTCCTTTCAAATAAAAGCTCGAGATAACTGGTAACAAGGATTGTGAGCACCGTGTAGCGGAAGAACCGTTGTTCTGAATCTTATAGATTATTTTAATGGTCCTATAGCTGACCCTGCAATTTCCGGAGTGTCAAAAGTGTCTCGCTCATCTTCTTCGACTCCTCCGTGTTTTCACCCAGGACCCGGTGGATCATCGAGTCTGGCATGCCCGAAAAGTTTCGGCTGGACCTCATCGCCAAGTTGTCGCGCGGGACCGGTGGCGACCAGGAGTTGGGACCCGCGTTCAGCTTCCACGCCATCAAAGTGGAGGACGTCATGGGCCTGTTCTACCTCCTCCTCGTCGGCTTGGCCTTCCCTGTCTGTGCCTTCCTGGCCGAGCTAGTCGTCTACCGTCTCACTCGAAGGCACGCTACTCGTACGTCATACAGAAGACACGGAGTTTCTCCGCGGACATGACGTAGTTATCCGCGGACACGCCTCAGGCACGTTAGGAGCACGCTTGCTTCATGCGTATGTATGCTTTGAACCCGTCTGCTGACAGTCTCTGTATGACCAATGTGTTAAAGTCCAAAGAAGAAACACGCATTTGAAAGTGTCTTATTTTGTATGATGTGTTCGCAACATGAGCCTGTACCACTGATGTCTACTACAAGGGACGGCACGTCGCCGCTCTCAGAGCCGAGTGAAGCCATCCATAGTTGGATGCTTTTCTCAGAAGTCGTGCATCCACTGGGTTTCTTATAGTGTATTCAGTCGATGTTTTGGTCACGCTTTTTTCTCGTTTCTAGGTGGCTTTTAAGAATCCCCATTGGCATTATAGATCAGTGCTCAAAAACTTAGCCTTCAACAAAAAAAAAAAAAAAAAAAGAGAGAAAAAAAAATTACGCTCTCAAACGCAGGCTCTTGCGAAGAGAGGGGAGCTGCGCATAAAACAAGTTTTTTGCTGTTTACGGCACTCTTGGCTTCGGTGTTGTCTTTGCAGTTTCGTGACTGTGCATTTCTGACGTTATTGCACTGGGATACGCGAAATAGTTTCTAATAAACTGAGTTTTGCAGAAAGCGCAGCCTCCTACTGTGTAATGGCGTCATCATAAACAAACATGGCGGCGCCGGTGGAACGGCAAGCAAACACTGGTATATAAGAACTGAGAATTATGTATCTCAATGTGGGACATGTAAACTTGATCAACTAGAATCTCGAAACGCTCGCACATTAGACGGCCTCTTGAAAGACTTTTCAAATCAGCATGCGCTTTATTGCGCAACAAGGAGGTAAAAAGGCGAGGAAATTAGCGTGTCGGACCATGTTGGTGCCAACGCTCGGTGGTACAGCCAGTCAAACGACCTCTGGGACAAGCCATTTACTTCCGGTGGCTTCATACCTGCGTGCTTAAAGCGACATCTACAAATCTAAGTGGTGCGAACCGTTTCAATTATTTATAAAAGTAGTTTTTGTTCAGTATTTTAGACCAGAAAAGACACAAAACAAATGCAGTTTATAAAGCACGGAAACATCAAAAAACCCGTCGACATAACCCCCACCAAGCGGTGGAAAAGGCGGCGCGTATACTAGAAAGGTGTCGTGGGATCAGTCACCGACGAGCGCCGAGCGTAGAAAGGTCCCGGATGTACGCGGCGGCGCTGCGGTCGTGTACAAGCTCTAGGATCCAACCGGTTCCGAAGGCCTTCGGCAAATAGATTTGGCTTTTGGTTTGGACGTTTGGAGCTATGGCAGCGCAAAGTGGCTCCCGTTCTGAGCTGATCTTTACACCGTGTTTGCTGTCGTTTGTGGCCAATGAAGTGTTATGCCGTATTAGTCTTTAATGGCTCAGCAAATGCAGTGCGAGCCGCCCTGGCCGCTCGCTTCATACAGTCTATCCAGAACATGTTTTAGTGGCGCCCTCTCAAGCCGTCGACACTGAGCGCGGCAGCCGTGAGCGCTAGCTAAGCTCACTACCCCTCTAGTTCAGTCAAGGAACCAAGCACGTCATGAAGGAGGTTATGTTTTGCTTGTTTTTGTAGTTTTATTTTGCCTATAACTTTTAAAATAAAGCGAAATTCAAGAAAAGAAAAGTTTCATTAAGTTACCACGCTCAGTGCGCTCAAAGTCAGTGCAAATTAAAAACCAGTAAAAAAGTCCTTGCAGAGCCCCTTTTAAATTTCATAATGTTCTCCTGCATGCTTTTTATTTCGATTCATATTTTTTTATCAGGATTCCTTTACTTTGCATAACTTTGTTCTCGTTTATATAGACCTTTTCATCTCAGTAGTTGCCTGACCGGCGGGTAGAGGGCGCTGGCGCATTCGGCGCCATTAGGTTGCTTCAATTTGGTCGGTTTCGGTTACATCGTACACGCGATTGTGATGCTGTTTCATGCCACTTTCAATTTATTTCGCGATATGATTTTTTTTTTTGGTAGCCCACAGCGAATGAAACAATAGTATTGAGCCACTTGGCCAAACACGAAGTGGGTTCGAGCCTAAATTGCGATCTTTTTTTTACTAACACCATATGCGTCTGATTCCGTCCATCATTAATTTCGGCCAGGTTCGGCGGTGAAACAACTGCGCTGATGCACAGGGAAAAGTATCATTGTCCACGGCCGTACCCGCGGACACAAATTTCAAGAAAAAAAAATAAAGAGCAGGACAAGCTCCGCCTGCAGCGGTCGTCCGCTGCCTGCCGCCGTGCTTTGGCTGTGCGTGCACCGAGCGGTACGGAAGTAGATAGCTCGCGCTCAAGTCATATATTGAAGTGATCATCTTATATTGCAACAGACTATACTGCATGAGTGCTTAGTGAAAAATCAGGTCGACAGCATGATTAACAATCTCCTGAATCACCAAGAACAGGTGAACTGACGAGTTTACTGTTCGATGTTTGGTTTCCGTACACCAACCTTTTCTAACTTCGAGACTGGAAACGTCTTTTATAATGACTAGAAAAGTTTAATATAATCACGTAGATAATATAAAAAAGTGATAATGTCTCGGCCTGTTTTATTTGAAGAAATTGAGCGCTCGAAAGATATTTTGATAGACCAGCCTAGGCTGACTAGAAAATTTCTTTAACTAAAGTGCCCATTTACAGCATTTCAAAATATTGGCCTTATGAAATAAACTTTTTGTTATATGGACATTTGCTTACGACGTTCTCAAGGTATCAAAATGGTAAGATAAGTGAATGCCAGACTTCAAATAAAGTCTAATATTCATCTTCCGCAAAATTTGCTGAATGAAATTGAAGAGTGCAAAAGAAATTATCTCCGATAAGTTTGGCTGAAGTCGAACGCCAGGCGCCACTCTATGTAGAAAGCTGTTCACTGATTTGAAACAATGCGCTTTGCACATTTTGACGTCAACATCTCCTGAAACTAAATCCCTATTCGCCGTCGACAACCGGCTGCACTCCGGTGATTTTCATGCAGAAGGATTCTTTTCGGCGTCACATTTTATGAATCATAGGCACTATCAAGCTGTCTGTGGCAGTTTCTTACGCGGGGAGTTCAAATATTTGTGTTCAAATAAATTAATTGATACTGCATGATTATATTAAAAATGACTTAAGCAACTGAAAAACCATGGACATGGGACCAAGCGCGATACACAATTCCGTGGAATTCATAAATAAACCGACAAAGCGAATCACACATGCGATTAAGAACGTAAAACAAATATAGGTGTGATATTGTGAACAAACAAGTTGCCTAATGTTAAGGTACCATTATTTCTAGCATAAAAAATAATTCAAACTAAATGTTTGTTCCCGCGCCTTGTCCACTAGTTCCCTAGTGTAATCAAAAGAAACTGTTTTCGATATATTGGAACTACCATGTTTTCAGGAAAAACACGTGGCTAATTACGCTGAGTGTTTTCGTTTTCTTCCTTGACACCAATGCGCACTCATATATATAAAAACACTGGGCTTCCTATTGTAAATGTTCCGCCCTTATCAGCAACCAAACCTCAGTTCTCACAAGTTATTGGTATTTGAACCCTCGAGGCTCTCTTCAAGTCATATATGTATTCAATGTACGCAAGTGCTAACGCTGATTCCTGTTCCTATAAAGCCTTTCACACGTATCCCGCACGCCGACGGTAAAAAATATTCAAAACGTGTTACAAAATCAACTACAAAAGTTGCGCGCATATTGATGTAATGCAATTGCATGGTAAGTATAATATCGGACGACACTTTACGGAGTAAGGCAAGAGACGCGGTGCAACGTGACGAGAAACACGAATTCAACGCATCCGCCAAGGCGCGGACGGGAGAGCGGAGCAACAAGTTGAAGCAACCTAATGGCGGCCGCATCACGTGATTCCAAGATGGCAGCGCCCATGCGGCGGAGGGTGAAAAGGTCTATACAAAGTTGCTCCTTTGATTGATTTTTAAGGCGCTCAGTTCAAAGGAGTCGCAAATGTGTGAACGGGCCCCACCTTTTCGAGTCCCTTGGCCCATCATATACTTGATCCTGTTTTCACTAGCAGGGATGGGTTAGCCATACAAAGGAACTGCGGAGGAAGCCTTTTTTGTTTCGCTTCCGCAATATGCAAAAAGAGGTATTCTCCTCTTCTTACTTCGAAATAGTCACCCTGCTAAAACAGCTCTTTCTCCCTCCTTTGCCGCGACCTTGCGGTCTATTGTTCTGGAGCAAAAGTTGCAGACTTTTCCCTTATATAGCAGGCTATGGCAAATCGCATTTACGAGTTTCTAAAAAAAGTCGACAGGAAAAGTCAAAGGTCAATAGTCAAACAAGAAAGGTATTTGCATAATTTTTCCTCCTAATGGTGCCAATATAACTGGACTAAGCACGTCCTGGTATGTTTACATATGGTTTTTCTGTAATTTCGGTATATTTCTATCAGGTCGTTATATCATTAAATGATTATGACGTATGTTTTATGTTTCTCGCTGTCCCGTACAGGGGTTCATATTTATTGTCTATACAGATGCTTCATTGTGAAGAGCCGTAATGAGAACGTTATTTCGATTTTGTTATACTAGCTTGCTGATGTAATCTTCCTGCCCGTTTTACTCTAGACGTGTGCAGTAGTACAAAAAAAAACTAATTAAACATACGTTCATCACAATTAACCACCTGCTACTGTACCAACATCCACGATTTTCATTCTATCTATACACAAATTATCTCACGAATAAATGGGTCTCCCGTAAAATAACTATAATCCAAGCATCATTGTTCTGCTTCGCCAACTCTGTTAACCCTTTATCAATGAATAGGTTAAACATTTTTCCATATTGTGCTGTTACAGTAACTGTAATACTGACAAATTTGATGACGTTGCAACGCGCCATTTACGTTTCACTCTGTTACTAAAAATGCGAACCTTAATATTTCTCAAAACATTTTTTGTTTTGTTTTGGACACATTGGGGGGGGGGGGGGGGGGGGGGGTGGCATTTGACAATACCATTTAGCCCGAAAAAAAAATCCTTGGGTCATGGTCATCAAGACCTAATGCTGCCAAGGCTTTGCAGGCTCTCCTAGTTTTTCTCAGATGTAGTGGCTTGACTTCGGGGCTCTGAATAACATCCATTGCAGTGACCAAAGAGAAATCTGAACATCTATGCTCGTCACACAAAGAAAAAAAAAAGGTTCGCAAATTATTTGTGCGTTTTGCGAGACTTGGCTGTCGAAGAGAAACAATGAATGTCGTTTACAACTCCCTGTAACGCCGAATTAGAGCGCAGCTCTTGAGGAGGAGGAGGGAAGGGTACTGAGGTGAGGGTATACCCCTCCTCCCTCTCCTCCTCTCCTCATTCTTCAATCTCCTCCG